ATAAGGATTACAACAATAAAGGGGATGATTATCCTAATCCTATAATGATTAGGATAACTACAACATATGGATAAATACAAGGAGCTGGATGTGTGGATAATGACAAGCTGCTGGCCGCCTAAGCTTGGGACTGAAGTAGACTGATGTGGTCTGGTCCATTTCCGGATATGTCCCAACCACCATCTTCATTTCTCAACAATAAAGTTTTTTCTGGTGATTCTGTTAGATACATGACTGTCTCATCAATTTTTTGGGATCCCTGGACAAAAAGTGTTTTTGAAGTAATTTGAAACAAATTTGTTGAAAGTTCATGTAACTATTTAAAGTATTTCATTCTTTCTATCAATCTTTTTACAATAAAATTAGCTTTTAAAATAAAAAAAAATTTAGCTAAAATTATATTTATATCTAATTTTTTTTTCTTTATCAAAATAATTTTAAATTAATTTATTTAATAAAACTAAAAACTAAAATTTTGTAACCCAAATATCTTTGGACTCTGGGGGTCGCACTTACCGCCCCATCATCTAAATCGGTTCTGCAAAGATAAAACACAAATACATTTATGACAAAATAGCATATAAAAAGAATTTTATTTTTAAATAACATTTATTTAAAAGGTAAAATGACTAAATTACTTCAAATTCTAAAATATTACTACTTTAACCCAGTCTCTTAATACTAAACTTTAAAATTTAAGAGAAATTGTTTGAAATACACTAAGTTAGCTAGATCAATACCATTAAAACAGAAACATCCTGTTTAATTTTTTTTTTGTTCAATTATACCCTTAATGATATGAACAAATTTTTATTTTTTATTAATGGCAATATGGTTTCATTAGTGTGCTGATTCTCTTCCGAATTTTATATAAAAACTTGCAAAAATATACTTTCTTTGCAGGTCTGGGTCAAATTTTTTAGTGGAGAAAATGACTCAACCCGTTACGGATCGGACAGGGTGGGCCGGACTGAGCGATTGAAATTTTGTAACTAAATGATTTTACAAATTAATCACAAAACTAAAAAAAAATGGATAATTTAATTGTTAAATATACAATTTTTTTAAGTACACATTGTAGGTACAACCATTGTTAACTTATTTAGAAACATAAAAAAAATATCTGAGACATTATAAAATAAAAATTCATACCCACATAATAATTTGATCTTGATTCTGTGACATTTAATATCATCAAAACAAAAGAGTTATCGATCCATCTGTATAAAACAGGAAAAATAGTATTCGCGCTTTTTAAGCGCGGATCGAAAATCTAGTATCACGTTTAAAACACAATCAATCAACAATATCATAACTTTGATTTTATGGTTTGATGGTTATTTTTAGGTTTTATTATTTAAGAGAGGGCGAGGTTAAATTTATAAACCTCTATAACTACTTTCCAAACAGTTAGAAATGATTTTGAAGGATTAGTTTGTTTATATATAATAAACTTAAGATATTTATGTAAATGGTTATCAATTAAAAATAAATATGAAAATGGTATCAGATTTGAGGTAAAGTTAAAATTTTCTCAAATTCTGATCAGTAAATATAAACCTAAATATAAAATAAAATTTACACTTACTATTTCATCATATAGATTCAAATCCAATATACATGTGTACACTACCCAAAAAGTGAGATAAAAAAAGTCGTGGTTGTTAAATATACAACAACAAACAACCGAAAAATAAAATGTGATAGAAGAACTTGTTGGTGTTACAAACATATAAAACATGTACCTAACAATTCTAATAAATACTGAAAGGAACCTGAACTACGTCAACAAAACTATAGTTTGAAAGGGTACATTGAAAGGTACATTTAGTTATATACACACCTCATAATAATTATTTACTAAACCACTGAATTCTTTGATGAATTAACTTGGTTAAACTAAAATAAATCAGAATTTGAATGGGTCAGCATTTGACCTTCACTAAACATAACCATTATATACACACACACACTCTGGAACTACTGTACATACTTGTTGACGAAGACCAAAGACTTTTCTAAACTTTGAATTGGTCAAATGTTCAAACGCATTCTTCACTCAATTCAGATCCAAAGCCTTTAAATTTCAAAAGAAAACACTCTTCATCTAACCACAACTCCAAAAGCGCACCTTTTTCTCCTCCGCAGTCTTATATATATATATAGATTTAATCTAAACCTTACCATAAGAAGCTAAAAGATACCTCATATCATAAACATCATATTAATTCCCCTTCTGAGTCAAAAGTTCTACCAAGAAATCTATACAAGTTTCTGCCAGCCGCCGGCAATCCATGGCTTCTTAATTCACCGAAAAGACTAAACTACACTTTTGGTGAGATAAAAATGGATATGTCGAACTGGGAGCAGAAGAATGTGCTAAGTGAGCTGGTTCATGGGCTAAAGGCGGCAAAGCAGCTCCAAGCTGACCTGGGAACATCTCCTTTTCCGCCACCGCCTTCCTTGTCTTCTTCTTATTCTTCATGTTTGACGACAGAGATGAAGGAAAATCTCTTACATCAGATCGTTTCTTCCTACGAGAAAGCTATTTTGATGCTAAACGGTCCCACCACAGTATACAGTCCGACGGCGGAAATGGTGAATCTTGCAGCGGATCCGGTAGCTAACACCGGTAAAGTTCCAGAGTCTCCTACTTCCATTAACGGAAGTCCGACAAGTGAAGAGTTTCTTGAGGGAGGATCCAAAGATTACAATTTGAGTTCTAAAAAGAGGTAAAAACTTCAACATAAAGTTAATTCAAAAAAGAAATATAATCCTTGCAAGAATTAAGGAAATTAATAAATAAACACAGAATTTTTAATCAGTTATCTGAAATATAATTAAATTTTGCAGGAAGATGTTGCCAAAGTGGACAGAGCAGGTGAGAATCAGCCCAGAGAGAGGCTTAGAAGGACCTCATGATGATGTCTTCAGCTGGAGAAAATATGGTCAGAAGGACATTTTAGGCGCCAAATATCCAAGGTAGCATCATCATACATCATCTCATCATCATCTTCATCATCATCATCGTGCATCATGTTAATGAAAGTATTCTGACAATGTTCTGTTTTGTTGTTTGTATTTTGCAGGAGTTATTATAGATGTACATTTCGTAACACACAGAATTGTTGTGCCACGAAACAGGTCCAGAGATCGGACGATGATCCGACGATCTTCGATTTGACATACAAAGGAACACACACTTGCTCACAGGGAATCCCACCTCGGGAGAGGCCGCGAGACAATAAACCAGACACAACACTCGTAAATTACCAAAATAACCTTCTCGACAATCTCAGGACCAATCTTACTGTCCGTACCAACGGTCCGATACAAAGCGACGGTTTCTCATTCCCAGTTACGCCGCCGTTTTTCTCTTACGAGTCCGATTTCGCCAACGGCGGTGGAACATTTGGCCACCTTGGGAATTCTGGTCCGTCGGATTTTACCGGATTGATCTCCACTAATACCTCAACAGGGAGTTCCCCGATTTTCGACGTGGATTTTCAGTTTGATCCAACGGCCGAGATTAACACTGGTCTCCACACATTTCTCCATGATTCGGTTTAACTTTTTTGGTCTAAGATTCGGTTTAACTTCAATTAGGGGTTGAATTATTCCTTGAGATTATTAAATATAGTACAAAATAAAGATCATTGTTTGATAAAACAATTTTTTCTAGTAGTTTGCTCACCACTAATATATACAGTATATCATCTATAAATTAATACTCGATAAATTAATATATACTAAATATCTCTATAAAATAATAAAATTTTATAGTTTCAAATTGAGTTTTTAGTTTGATTACTATATCGATAAATTAATATCTTTTTAAATTAATAAAAAAATAAATTTTAGTGTAATCCCAACATTATTAATTTATTAGAGGTTTCACATTATATCCCTAATTTTGTATCAAATTTTTGTTTAGTAATTGAGTAACTCGGTAATTAATTTGAGAATAGGTCAAGTAATTGTGTGTAAGACCAATTAGGAGAAAGTGAGAATTCTCAAAAGATGAACAGAAATAAAACTTTAAGATATTTAAACAGCAGTCATTTTTGTATAAGACAAAATATGTTTTTTGTTCTAAATTAGATTAAATTATGGCCAGACGAGCCGATTCTCTGAGGAGCATCTCCGTCTGGTCGGGTCTAATCCCCTATATTTTAAAAAGAATCACTTAAAATATTGTAATTTTAAGTTTGTAATAATTAAAAATAACTCCAATCCTATGTGGCATATCTCTTTGTCTTCTATTTCAATTTAGAAGTATTCTAGAGCATGTAATATAAATAACTCCAATCATATATCAAATATTTATTGTTTCGCAGGCTTTCCTTAAATAAAACCTACGGAATTACCTAATCTGAATAAATTATATATATGACAATTAATGATTTTAAACAATAAAGATTTGATAACAATCTGTGTACTTTTTATCATTTTTTATTTCTTTCTTATTAAAATAAATTACACAATTACATTAATCATATAATAAAAATTAGGTTTTTTTCTGTGTATGTTGTATTTCGAATTTTTCAAAATGAATATAAATTACTAAAATTGTTAAAAGTCTCACATAAACTTTTAGGATCAAGGTTTTAATTATTTTTCTATATTAAAATATAATGATTATAAGACCATATGAAGAAATAATTTTAGTATATATATATATTTCAGATCGTTTAAATTAAACTATATATCGTTATGAAAATACATACTTATATTTTGATATTTTCATTGAAAATATATTGAAAAGTTAATATTTTAATTTTGAAATATGTCATTAATTTTTTTAAATGATTATAAATTATTGAAACTACTAAACATCTCACATTAAAAAAAAAAATCGTTGGTGTAAAGTTTTGTTACACATATATGCAAATAATCATAAAATCATATGAGTAGAAACCTCATTTAATAAATATCCATATTAAAAGTGTGCTATATTACTAAGTTTATATCATTTAAATTTAATTATATATCATATACAATATATAAGATTGATTATGTTGATTTATTTACCCTAATTGCGAATAAACAAGAGTGATAGTTAAATTTATATGCATAAGCCAATTTATTACATAATAGTAACTGATTTCTTAGTTATTTAATATATATATATATATATATATATTTATTATTTTATAATATGCAGAAAAATAGAAAATAAATAATAAATATGAAATACTTATTGTACATAAAGTGCAGATCTTAACCTAAGTATTTATCTCTCGAGAACTCTTTAAAAACATGTTTCAACTATTTATCTCTTTTGTAATGAACTATGATTTTGTTTGATCCTTATTTAAAGGGTACAAATGCAACCTTTAACTGATTCATCTAAACATATTCAAACATCTTTTACATTCAATTGGCTGAGTTCTGGTCTCAATACTGAGATTTCTCTTAAACCTTCAATCAAAATTGTGTTTTATCAAGTACACCAATTTCAGATTCAACAATTGGCGTTAGAAGGATGGAATGGAGAATTATCTTTGAAGAAGATCAATCTCAGCTCAGAAGAAGAAAAAAAATTCAACAACGACAAATGCATTTAATTACAACGCTATGTGAGTCAATTTCTCATGTTCTTCTAGTCAAGATAAGTAACTTTTTACATAAAGCTTCGTATCAATCTATTCAAGAGTTGCAATTTTATTAATCAAATTTTTACATACCATATGTGTTTTATAAACCATTATTATGTAATTTGGCTTCCTATTTGATTTCACCTGATTGGATCATCATGGTATTCATATAGCTGCATATAGTGAAAGCCGGCCATTTTGTTGGTGTAAACACCATGTGTATAGTGAAAGCCGACCATTTTGTTGATGTAGACACCATCTTCACCAATTGAGAACAATCAGTTGCAAACGACAACTCCACATTTTACATGTAAAGATGATAGATTTCGTTGGATATTCATAACTCCCATCATGCTTTTGGTTGACCCATCTTTACTGCAAACATCCATTATCCTCTAAAAGTATTGTATTCTTTCCTGGCTCCATCAATAAAATACCAATTAGTATCTCCCAAATCTAGACATATGATCTATACATGGTTCTTTTTTGTGCTTCAGTCTATAAAGCACTCTCAATCTCTGAGATGTGTAAGATCTCTTGACGATTTTTTTATTTATAAATCTTATCATTTCGATTCTTCCAAACCACATTTTCTATGAGAATAACTGAAATTAGGTTCTTTTGAAAGTCTTCCGAACACACACCAGGGTTCATAAGTATTTTTGAAATGGCCCAAGTCTGAAACGATGGTGAGCATTCAAAACGAATGTGATTGATCGACTCCTCCTCTGTCGAACAAAGAAAATATTGTGTGTCACACTGAATGCCACTAGATCATAAGTTCTTTGTGACTGATAAACTACCAGATATATTGCCAAACAAAATGCCTCAATATCAGAGAACAATACAGTTTTCAGGTAGAAACCAAGAGAGGTTTAGTATCTGGTCCATAAAATTTTTGGAGTAATCCCAAATTTGGATATAGTTTTCCGTTTTATAACCTGATATAACAGCATACATGCCTTGTACCGTAAAATGCCACCCATATGTATTGTAACCTACTAAGTGCCATGCTTTGAATAGTCGGCACATCATTCAGATATATGTATGCCATAAGCAAATCCGCATCCCAGGAAAGATCCACTGGATTAATTAGATTTTCCACCTTAAGTAAAAAAATGATTTTGATGTATTGGTATTGTTGATTTCGGACGAGGAGCGATAGAACAAAACATATTCTTCTAAGACTTTCTCACACATACGAGAATTTGAGAAAAATCAAGAAGTGCACATTGTATATATTCGATCATGTGACAGTCTAATCGATTGTTTATACAAGTGCTTCCCACTACAACATCTTAAACATGTATTCATAGCATTAGAATGTTTCGTCTATGTAATCTTCGAAATATAATTATGTTCATCATTTGCCAAAAATTATGTCTATCATTTGTAGGAAAAACTTATGTATATGTACTATGTTTTTGTTTCATCAGATTTTGTTTTTAACAAAATAAAATGTAATATATAATATTTAATTAAAAAAAGAGTGTTGAGATGGAAGATTATCTAAGAAGATAATGTTTTAAGTTAATCTAACACATTAAAGACAAAATTAATCTGAACAAAACTCAAATCTTAGTTAATTAAAGTAACTAGTCATTATTTTTTGTCAATGAATATTAAATTGTATTCTTCAAACAAACTTTTGTACATAAAGAGTTTAGTGTTATGAATATTTTTTTTAACACTGATTTTATTTCATAATCTGAAGTTCGAAAAAACATAATACTTCCCTAACAGCACACACACCTCTTAAATAGAGGGTTGGAAGGGAAAGGTACAAAAGGAAGATAAAGAGAAAGGACATCAATAGGTTCCAAAAACAAAGCATGAACAAGGAAACATACTAGAGGCTCGACCACAACAGGTTAGTTGCGTCAGCCTGACATGAATACTCCATTGACAGCCCATGCTCGAATAGTAGGCTCCAATCAGCGAGGACCCCCATTCGCCAGATAAGATTTGGAGCGATGGTTCCTCGTAACACTGACTGCAATGTTTATAATGACACCATTCTTGTCGAGAGAAACATGTTCTAAACTCCAATTCTCAAAAGAATTTAGCTCCTGCAAGTATAAACTTAGCCAAGAATCTTAGATTTGAGGGTGATGATATGAGCACCACAACTTAATCTGAACTTAAGAAATGAAAGAAAATCCATGAATTAGAATCCTGAGAACTACAAGCTCTTCTTTTATCCAGAATAGTGGCTTGAGAAAAACGCAGCAATATCCAAAGTCTGACTCCAAGTGATGAATCCCTACCCATTCAAATCAATGACACTAAGAGAGCTTCTCGTAGAAGACTGATCTCCAGTTACAAGACCATTGTATCAAGTAACACAATTGTAGCTACAATTGGATATAAATCAACATCAAAGGAACACTTACTAATACATTGAGACATTTTTGTGTCTCCAATAACCAGACCATACCGTCCCATCTTCTGATCCGGCAACAGACCGTTAAACTTTCAATCCAGAGAAAGCCAAAATTCATCTGAGAACCAACCATAGCAATCTCAACCAAACCAGGAAGACACATGTGTTCCCTAGAATGCTATGAGAAACATATTGAGCACTAGTCTCAACCATAAAGAAGATGAGAATTGATACTGATCGTAGACATGCCACTTCGACAATCTACGAATCCAGGAGCAACAGCCTCACAACTCAAGGGTTCAAGCATATACTATGAACAAAACCACTATATACTACCACGTGAACGACACGACACCACAACGAAAGGGTAGAAGAGGTGATGAAGATGAAAGAAGAGGAAGAGTTTTGCTCAGTGGTGGTGAAGCCAAACCACCGGGGAGGCGGCAAATCTGTGCAAAAAGTGATGAATATTTATCCTACATACTAATAATTCTACTTAAAAACCAAATACCGAGAATACCACTGAGCTTCTTACCCTTGTTGCCGAGAGGGCTAAGTTTATTCCTTACCTAATTATTATTTAATCATAACTAGATTTTGACCCGCCCTTAAAGAGGGCGGGTCAACCGTTTTTGCTTTAAATTTATGCCTTTGTTCGATTATTCACAAGTATGTATAGGCATGAGTATCCGGGTTCAGATCGATTGTCATTAATAATTTGGTTTGGTCCGACATATATAGATTAAATAAAATTACGTACAATTTAATGTGTGGTGTAGGATTTATTTTTCTTATTCGTTTTAGTTAAATAAAAAATTATAGGGACCCGATAAAATTATGAGTTCTATTCGGTAATCTAAAGTATTGATTTGTAAAAACTGATATAAGATAATTAATTTTTAATAATTTCATATTGGTTAAAATTGATTTTTTTAAATAAAAATTATTTTTAGATATATTTTACCAATTCGTTTTTGAATCATTCCTAGACAGAGACCTGTTTCTTGTTGATAAAATTATTAACTCGTTTGTTAGATGACAATAGAAATAAAAAATGTATTTGTGAGATCCATTTGTACTCAAGAAATATTTGACATATTTAATGAAACAATCTGTAAATATTAATTGTAAAATTTCTTCTTCATTAATTGCAGATTAATTTTGTAAAATCAACTTTATTTTAAAATTTAAAATATTTATTTTAAAAA